TCATTGACGGTTTCTGATTTCATTTTTAAATTATCTCTATATATCTATATATATATCATGAAAAAACATTTAATAATCAGATATATATGTATATTTATATCTAAATGTATTTGACTTTTTGAATTACCAGGAATGTCTGGGAATCGGAATGAATGTAATATTATTGGGGCTGTACACAGCCTGTTTTGCATTATGTGCAGGCAGATACGTAAACATTTTGTCATATCATAGATGGACATAAGTAAAAATCATTCCAATAGAACGTTTTATTTCAGTCAAGTTGACATACAGACACCTTTAACAGATTGTCATCGCTACACTGAAAGCAAAATGTCTTTGAGACCAGGAAGTCTAGAAAATAGTCTTTACGTGTGACGTGTGCATTGTACATGCATTAGATGAGGATGTTCACCATTATAATATGTTTTGGTGATATTCAGTCAAAATCACCACAATTCCCGTCCTTTATAGTCATGGACGGTTTCTGATTTCATTTTTAGATTGACACATTGTGACTGTACAAGAATCATGAAAAAACATTTCATGATGAGGGAGACAGTCACCCTCAAGTGTGAAGCTTGTCATAGACTGGATGGTTGATCATAAGACTCAGTCAGAAAGGCTATAGCACATATCCATGTGTCAACTGCTCCTATACCTCTTACGTCATGTTTCTATTGGATGTCTTGGAATGTGTTTCTGAGTCACTGCAGCTCATTTAGAAAAAGAGAGCTGTCTCTTACTCTGTGCTCTCATTTGATATGGACATTTCCATCTCCCCTTTTTCTAAGGACAGCTATTTGTGAAGGCCATAATCATCTTAGTCTGTATATACTGTATCTATATCTCTCTATTTCTCTCTAGAGAGGGTTTGGACATTTCTGTATGTAATGTTCAGTAGCTTTATTTTTGGATGCCTTACCCATGTTCCTGTTGAAATTGTAAATATCAAAATGTTATATTGCGAACCAAATGGGAGGAAGAAATTCTAACTGATATCATCTGTATATTTACTGAATCCTATGCACTTGTACTCTAATGAATGACCCCAAGATGAGCTGCAATGTCATTCAGGCATTTTGCAGCCAATTGGTTTTGATACATTGGTCACTAAAGCTGTCAATTCTATGAGTCATTCTTGAAAGATTTTTATGGATTTTTATTTTCTATTCTATTCTAAGAAATTAAATTGTTAGATGTTTGACAGATAAGCCTTTTGGGAAAGGGACAAACCAAACCTACCGGACCGCACCATCATTCACTATGCTAATAGTTTTTACAGACAGCCAGATGTATTCTGGCTTAGCATTTATTTGTTAAACACACTTTGGAGGTAAATGAAGTCGCCGAAAGGGTCGCCATGCAAGAAACTCAAATTGGTTGACAGCCAGATCTTTTAATACATGGACAAACTCTAAGTTATGTTTGTTATCAACAGTTATGTCCGGTAAACACAGCAGCATATTTAAAATTATGATCAATTGACAAACACACAAAATACATATTTCTATCTTCAAGAAAAACTGTTTTTCTCGATGTGAATTTAGCTCAAATGTATTGAGTAACATAATTGCTACAAATGTTAGAACAGCATTTTGTGAGAAGTTTCTCCAGCCACCACAAACATCTGGCTGGCCTACAACAGGGACAATTATTACAACTTGAATTGATGGCGGTGCTTCATAGATTGTCCAAAGTCGTATTTTTTTGTTGCAAAAAAACAAGTGCCACATCATCCAGAAACCAGAGCTTATGTATAACAGACAAGACAGTGTGACAGCTGAATGTTGATGAGACTGAATGTTTGCCTGAATGTGTAAGAATGAAATATTTAAGTCTCACAATTGTTTTGTTGCATTAGAGTGAACGAATAATAGTTGCTAGATGTCGTAAGGTTGATTCATCAAGGTTGACTATGTAAATCATTATGATCAGTTAAAATGGATACTTGTGCTACATGTTGATGTTAAACCTTTTATTGTGTATTTTGTTTGTAAATATTAATTACAACAAAGTCACTTCACATTAATACTTCTGCAGATGGGGACCCATCATGTCTTAATTTGATGTTTTCCGTCTGAATGTCAGCAAGGACTTTATCCTTTACTGACGCACATTACATTTTGTTATGAAATTATAAAGTCATGCCATCTGCTGGTTAAAATGAACTGCATTTGTATTCATTTTAATATCACAGGCCAAGTAACGGCTGCAGCTTTTGGTGACAATTTCTTGTTTTAGCTTAACATTACTGAGACGATTTATTGCAAGGTAACCTCTTGTACTTTCCCCAAAGACTTGTAATATTTGAGTTGAGTTCATAGCCACATTAAACAGCCACATGCCTGTTTGGATCCATATTCCATCTGAACTACAAAAAACATTGTTTATTGAGCTTGTAGCTTTCTTTTTTTGTTGGGCTTGTGTTGCACAGCTATCTTGTTTGAAGACGATACAGGTCTGAAGAGAGCTGAGCTGAGTTTGATCTGTCTGTGCCAGCATGGTCCACACAATTTTGTATTTTTTAACTGTTAGTAAAACAGTCACAAACTATTCGGGGGAGTGGAAAACATCAAATTAGTCATTCAAAATGAATTATGTTCAAACACCCTCACAGTATTGTGGTCCACAGTAGACCTTAATGAATTCTATCAGATGTGGTGAAGTTGGCTCATTGTTTGATTATTTGCCTTCAAATCGTTTCATTGTGCGAGCAACGCCGCGCTAGAATTTCAAATCTATAGACTTGGAAATTAAATATTTTTCATATGTTTGTTTGAAGTATAATTTTGTCCAACAAAAATAGCGTAAATGCAATGTTTTTCTCAAGATTCTGTTCTTATCTATAATGCTCTTGCAGCCATTCATAACTCCTTTGTGTTCCTCCTGCAGAGCTCTTATCCTTTGTCCTCAATGGGCCACAAACAACGTTTTATTAATCAAACACTGCAAAATATCCTGTGTCTTCTGTAGAAAAACATGTGTTTACAGAGACGTATAGGCAAAACATAATATTGTTACGAAGTAGAAAAATACACACAGGATTAACTGTGAGTCAACTCATTTTATCTTTATATCAAGCTTGTATATCAAGCTTCAAACCTCCCTGTGAGAAAATTGTATCATTATAGAGAAAGGGAATAGCGTGTAATACAATACAAGGTACATTTTATTTATACTGCACTTACCTCCAAACAGAGGGCTTTCCAAGAAGGCATATAAACGACAGTAAACATGAGGACCCATTCAAATGATATCTCCAGTCTGATACAAGACAGAACTTGAGTGCTGTCTCCTGCTCCACCCACAAATAATTATGTTTTCAAGTCTTGGGATTTAAGTGATAATTCACGTGTTGGTAGCACTTCAGGTGTGGACTAAGAGCGGATGAACTCAGATGGCTGGTTTTACTCAAATCCACATTATTTCTCCATTATTCCAAACACAGTTTTATGAATAGAGCTTCATAAACTACTCTGTCCAGATATTATATTACAGCTTTGTATGTACAGAAACACTCACAGGAACATTCTTGTCTTCATTGTTTGCCAAAATATGCATTCAATAGTTTCTGTATGTGTGTATTCTATATTTGTGTGTTGCTTCAGCTGTCAACCAGCACCGTAACAGCTCTGTCCATACATCAGATCCTTGCACAGGGCTGTTGTTACGCCTATAATTCAGTACGATGAGGTCAAGGGCAGTTTGGTGCAGCAGATGCAGAAAGCTAATGATGTTAAACTTCCAGAGACCCTCCCGAAGGAGGTGGCCTGAAGCCGCTGCCAACTCGGGCACGGTACGGGTGTACTGGGAGGGGACTACACGGCGCAGGACGAGTCTGCTTTTCCCTGAAAACTTTGGCAACACAGCGAAAGCGAACTAGTACACCAATACATGTCAGTTCATTAGCTACATTTCTAGAAACTGTCGTGGTAAGAGGGGATGCTTGGGGTGGCTGGAATGACGGGCAGGTAAGATTATTTTCATTAGCTTCTGTAGCTAACGTTAGCGGTTAGCAGCAAACATTCAGAACCGCTAACTTCAGCCAGCAAGCTAAAGCTAACGTCACATTCGCTTACCATTGGGGCAAAGATAGCTACAATTGATACACCCTACTTAAAGCACCAGCAACAATGTGAATGATCAATTCATAATTTAGTCCACGCTAACAGTTTAAAGGCTTCCTCCCTGTTATAATATGTTATAGCTATTGTTAGTTAAATTATAGTTAGAGCTAACTATACAATTTACATGCTAGTTAGCTGTTGTTTTTTTAACTCTCAAGATGATGCGAGTTATTAACACTCACCGCCCTGTAACTCTAATCACTGAGGTTATGAGCATTGATTGATTTGAAGTATTTTAAGACAGCAACCAGTGCATGGAATACCACTACTGGCCAACGTGCTGAACCAACATTACATTACGTGTGGTTGGAGTAATGTTAGCTACCATTGTTTTAGTTTGCAACTTAATACAACATATTTGTGTTTAACACAGCTTCAGTCCAGCATTGGCCTTACACTTTACTGACCTACCGACAGAAAGTTGAGGAACAGCATTGAACTGTATGTGTCTGGGTATTATTTGTCAATTTGTGTGTGTGTGTGTGTGTGTGTGTGTGTGTTGGAGCAGAGGCAAGGCTGCACATCGTCATTCGGCTAGCATTCACTACCTCTGTTCCTTTACCAAATTAGGAGATGGCTGTGGAGTGAGTAACCGTGTTAGTGAGTGACCAAACTGATTCACATATTGTTTTCCCACTCTCCATGGTGACAGCTGCTAAAAACAAACACAGCAGTTAATGTAGGAGTTATGTGTGAAATGATAAACATTGGTCCGGCCTTGCATCCCAATTGCCAGCCTAACATTTCACGGGGACTCTGGAGGTAGTAATGTACTAATGTGTATTTTCTTGTCTCGTGCAAACAGCATTGCTAATGCCCTGGCCAGTGCAGCCTGTGAGCGATGTAAGAGTGGCTTTGCCGCGACCGAGAAGATTGTCAACAGCAATGGGGAGCTGTACCATGAGCACTGCTTTGTGTGTGCCCAGTGTTTCCAGCAGTTCCCAGAGGGACTCTTTTATGAGGTAGTGCACTCCAATAGGCGCTATAAACCGTTTCACAAATCAATACTTTGATGAGCTGTATACTTTATGTGCTGCATGTGTGCTGGTGATTTGTCCAGTACTCCTTTTTATGGAGCGAATGTTTCTCTTGAGTGAAATAATCTCAATCCTCTTTCTCTTCACAGTTTGAAGGGAGAAAATATTGTGAACATGACTTCCAGATGCTCTTTGCCCCTTGCTGTCACCAGTGTGGTGAGTGTTATAGGGCCTTTACTCATTTCAGGCCGGTCCAGAGCTAGTATTTTTGGGGTTTTGTGAACCCTAGAAAGACTAGACTACACTTTGTGTAAATGTTAAAGTATTTTGTATTTGAATATTTTCGGACCATGTCTAGATCTAATTGAGATATACCTGGTACCAGAATGCATCTCGGGTGGCCCTCAAGTGATTATTTGAGATTAGACTTTGCTTCTCTGTTCACAACCTATTTGAAGGAGTTGTTTTGGATTTTTGGAACCTTGTGTGGGGTTGAACTTGAAACCCATTCCTTGCAGTTGTTTTGCGTTTGTTTATACAGTGGGTACGGAAAGTATTCAGACCCCTTTAAATTTTGCACTCTTTGTTTCATTGCAGCCATTTGCTAAAAATCAAAAAAGTTCATTTTATTTCTCATTAATGTACACTCAGCACCCCATCTTGACAGAAAAAAACAGAAATGTAGAAATTTTTGCAAATTTATTAAAAAAGAAAAACTGAAATATCACATGGTCATAAGTATTCAGACCCTTTGCTCAGTATTGAGTAGAAGCACCCTTTTGAGCTAGTACAGCCATGAGTCTTCTTGGGAATGATGCAACAAGTTTTTCACACCTGGATTTGGGGATCCTCTGCCATTCTTCCTTGCAGATCCTCTCCAGTTCCGTCAGGTTGGATGGTGAACGTTGGTGGACAGCCATTTTCAGGTCTCTCCAGAGATGCTCAATTGGGTTTAGGTCAGGGCTCTGGCTGGGCCAGTCAAGAATGGTCACAGAGTTGTTCCGAAGCCACTCCTTTGTTATTTTAGCTGTGTGCTTAGGGTCATTGTCTTGTTGGAAGGTGAACCTTCGGCCCAGTCTGAGGTCCAGAGCACTCTGGAAGAGGTTTTCTTCCAGGATATCTCTGTACTTGGCCGCATTCATCTTTCCTTCAATTGCAACCAGTCGTCCTGTCCCTGCAGCTGAAAAACACCCCCATAGCATGATGCTGCCACCACCATGTTTCACTGTTGGGATTGTATTGGGCAGGTGATGAGCAGTGCCTGGTTTTCTCCACACATACCGCTTAGAATTAACGCCAAAAAGTTCAATCTTGGTCTCATCAGACCAGAGAATCTTATTTCTCATAGTCTGGGAGTCCTTCATGTGTTTTTTGGCAAACTCTATGCGGGCTTTCATATGTCTTGCACTGAGGAGAGGCTTCCGTCGGGCCACTCTGCCATAAAGCCCCGACTGGTGGAGGGCTGCAGTGATAGTTGACTTTGTGGAACTTTCTCCCATCTCCCTACTGCATCTCTGGAGCTCAGCCACAGTGATCTTTGGGTTCTTCTTTACCTCTCTCACCAAGGCTCTTCTTCCACGATTGCTCAGTTTGGCTGGACGGCCAGGTCTAGGAAGAGTTCTGGTCGTCCCAAACTTCTTCCATTTAAGGATTATGGAGGCCACTGTGCTCTTAGGAACCTTGAGTGCTGCAGAAATTCTTTTGTAACCTTGGCCAGATCTGTGCCTTGCCACAATTCTGTCTCTGAGCTCCTTGGGCAGTTCCTTCGACCTCATGATTCTCATTTGCTCTGACATGCACTGTGAGCTGTAAGGTCTTATATAGACAGGTGTGTGCCTTTCCTAATCAAGTCCAATCAGTTTAATTAAACACAGCTGGACTCCAATGAAGGAGTAGAACCATCTCAAGGAGGATCAGAAGAAATGGACAGCATGTGAGTTAAATATGAGTGTCACAGCAAAGGGTCTGAATACTTATGACCATGTGATATTTCAGTTTTTCTTTTTTAATAAATTTGCAAAAATTTCTACATTTCTGTTTTTTTCTGTCAAGATGGGGTGCTGAGTGTACATTAATGAGAAATAAAATGAACTTTTTTGATTTTAGCAAATGGCTGCAATGAAACAAAGAGTGAAAAATTTAAAGGGGTCTGAATACTTTCCGTACCCACTGTATAAGAGCATCTTTGAATCAACGATTCTCGATGCATCTCAATGTGTAGCATCCTCAATTTTCTATTTTACTGCACATGGCTGCTTTTTCATCAATTAATACAAGCAGTCAGATAAATCTGGACTTTATTTAGAAAGTGTTTAAAAAAAAAAATCAGACTACAACAGTGTAATATTAGATGTTGCATCTTTTCAATACCTGCTCAACACAATTTCATTTCAACCTGTATGCATGTTTTTTCATCTCAACATTGTTGAAACAAACGGCGTGTGTAAGTTTAGCCTTGGTGAAACACAGAGATCAAAGGAGAGATACAAGCGTGACAGTAATTGACAGCAAAACACAGCAAAGATTCACACTGACCTGAAATACAACCAAACTCCTGATAATGTTCTGTCACTGCATCGAAGCAGAATCTTAGAATTGAGCAATATCTATATTTATATGTGTCGAAGGTTTGCCGTGACACAAGCACATTAAAACATCTTGATTAAGCTTTTAATTTAATGCCGTCAGTGTTCACGTCACAAATCATTTCTGTTGGGTCTCCCTTCTGCTTTTGGATCGTTGTCTACACGACATTTATTTGACAAACCTTTTCACAAACGGCTCCACAGCAAATAGCAAAGCATCAGGCCATCACCACATCTCCACACACAGTTTGTGAACCACTGAACCGTGGTACATTTGCATGTAAGCATCCCTGACCTCCATATCCAGTGTGTCCTCACTGCTCTTTAAATATATTCATACTTTTGTTCAACTTTTCATTTCAAACTTCCCACGTGTGTTTAGATCACTCAAGATGCATTTTAGTGCTACGTAAGCTTAATCTTAATACTGCTTGACTGTGCCCAGGGAGAGACAGACATGCTCTTAATTAAATGTAATGGATAAGATTAAAATGCGTTCAACATCAAAGTGTCACTTTGAGAACACTATAGGAAGCACTATAGTGCATTGAAGTAACACCAGGACTCCATAGGGGTGTGCTCATTAGGAACTACGATGTATGAATATGTATTTTGTGTATGATATACTGATGGCATCCAGTCCCAACACATATTGAAAAGGACTTCGACTTGCCTCAAACTGATCTCTCACTTATGGCTTTCCCTCAGGGGAGTTCATCATTGGTCGTGTCATTAAGGCCATGAACAATAGTTGGCACCCCGACTGCTTCTGCTGTGACATTTGCCAGGCTGTGCTTGCAGACGTGGGGTTTGTCAAAAATGCTGGCAGGTGAGTATCCCGTCTTATTACAGGCTTAATACGGAGACCCTGTGACAGCCTGTAAAACCGGTGGTTACACACGTGTCAAGCTGCTGACTCTCTCGCGTTTGCGTTCTAACAAATACTGGAATTTTGAGCAGCTGTGACAGAGTATGTCAAAATGTTACGTTATGCTTATTGCACTTTCTTGACACCCCTAAATTTGGTTCTCCTCAGGCACCTGTGTCGCCCTTGCCATAACCGCGAGAAAGCTCGTGGCCTGGGCAAGTATATCTGCCAGAAGTGCCATGCCATCATTGAAGAGCAACCGCTGATCTTTAAGAACGACCCCTATCACCCAGACCACTTCAACTGCAACAATTGTGGGTGAGTCTTACCTCTCCGCCTCACTGTTAAGCACAGAAAGCAGTACACGCATGAGAATGTATCCAAGACATCACGAGTAAAAGATCGTCTGATGTGTTTTAATGTTTCTGTGCCCACAGGAAGGAATTGACGGCTGAAGCCAGGGAGCTGAAGGGAGAGCTCTTCTGTTTGCCCTGCCATGATAAGATGGGCGTACCGATCTGTGGCGCCTGTAGGAGACCCATCGAGGGCCGTGTTGTCAATGCCATGGGCAAACAGTGGCATGTGGAGGTTTGTCCAAAAGAAGGAGACGAATTATGATACACTGGATACGGTATATAGGCACTTTAGGAATTGTGACCATGTTTACCGTGTTCATGAGTTGGTATCTGCGTGGAGAGAAATGAGGACAGGCAAGTGTAACTGATATGGACATCATTTTTTTATTGAGTTGCTAACTTCATGTAGGTGATATTGTATGTAACCTTTAAACTGAAGCAGAATAAAATGCTTTCATGAATTTCAAATTGAGTTACTTATGTACAGGAACATTTTAATTAATTGAATAAACAACTTCAGTACCAAAACTATGTTAATGAGCTAATTCGAGGCAGTAAAAAGATTGTTTCTCCTGAGGCAGAGCGCAGCAGATCAAGTTGTGTGTTCTGTCTGGAGGCTGCTGAAGTTTATACTGGTCATTAAAGCTCCAGATTATCAGCAGTGTATAGTAGTCAATTTAATGCTAAATACAGTCATTTGCTGAAATGAATTTAGTATCTAACCCCTTCAGGAACTTTTATCGAAGCAGTCATCAGAAAAGGGGAGCTATTTTAACAACACTGTGGACACCACACTGGTGGGCTGAATGTGATTTTTAAAAAAAACAAAACAAAAACAACTAATATTTCACCACAGGTCACGTCTGTAACTTTTGAAATCATTCCTAACTAAGTAAACCTATTCATATAATGCTCATGTATTATTCATGTTGTGTTGGCAACTGCTCCTTTAGTCAGTTTCACATGCCTACATTAGAAGTCTCTCCCCCTTCACTCCCTCAACATTTGATTTTGTTTACAGCATTTTGTGTGCGCCAAGTGTGAGAAGCCTTTCCTCGGTCACCGGCATTATGAGAGGAAGGGGTTGGCCTACTGTGAGACTCATTATAACCAGGTAAGAAGCAGGAGAGCCAGGTAAAACAGTGGCTTTGGAGGACATGACAGACACAATATTAGCAATGCTTACTTATTAAAAAATATATATACATATTTTTACAGCTCTTTGGCGATGTGTGCTATCACTGCAACCGTGTGATTGAAGGCGATGGTGAGTATCAATATGATATCTCATCTTCAGGGCTGTGTTTGAATGTAATTTACTTAAGATGTTGCTCGAACAGACAACAGTTGAATGTTGACGATTATTTCCCTTCTTTTTCTCCCGTGACCCCCTCAGTGGTGTCTGCTCTCAACAAGGCCTGGTGTGTCAGTTGTTTCTCATGCTCCACCTGCAACACAAAACTCACTCTCAAGTAAGTGATGTTGCTCAATAAAAACTCATTAATAGCTTCTTTTTACTAACTAATCGTGTACAATACTGATATTTCCTCTCAATTCTGTTGACCGCTCTTACTTAACACGTACTTTAGTGTCAGTGTTAACACTTGTCTGTACGTATTTCACTTTCCTGCTACAACTCTTCCTTCTTTGGCTCTTTTCTCTCCAAATTCTCCTCTTACATGCTTCACTTCACTTCTGTGGTTACTCAGAGATAAGTTTGTTGAAATTGACCTGAAGCCGGTGTGCAAGCACTGCTATGAGCGCATGCCAGAGGAGCTGAAACGTCGCCTGGCTCGACGTGAGCGCGATGCCAAAGACCGCAAGAAAAATCCTGCTGTGTGTCTGTAGAGTTATTAATCTTGACAACTCACCACTCCATCCTTGGTTGGTGCCGTCTCTGCCTTCCTCTTTTTCTGTGGTGTTCCATGTTTGTGACAGTATGGCATGATGTCATTATTTGTCTTTAATTTGTAAGGTATAAACCGACACCCTGCAACTGTTATGTGTTAATGGAGTTTGTGCGAAACCTCTGAATTATACATTCATATCAAAGTTTGACTCAATTGATGCTAATGAGTAGGGCTTATAACAATTATTTTCCTTATTAATTAATCTGATCAATTAATGGATTAATTGTTAGGTCTATAAAATGTCAAAATGGAGAAAGTCCAAGGTGAAGTCTTTAAATGTCTTGTTTTGTTCAATCGACTGTCTGAAACCCAATTATGTGCATATTCTTTCAAATTGGTGAAGTTGATTTATCCATTTGCATGTGTTTTTTTGCTATTTGCATGTATTTTCTATATTTGCAGTGCGCCACCAAATATTAGTCATTTTTGCTTGAAAATATCGACTCAAACAATTAATCCGTCAATTAACTAAAAGCACTTCATCCACTAACAGTCTCAGCTCTATTTATGAGAAACTTAAGCTTTCCTCAAACTTTCTTGTTTTGGTTTGAATGAGATGACTAATGTTTCACTAAAGGACAAAGTTGGATGATCATTTCAAAGGTTTCCATGATTCCATGTCAGAAGATGTGGTGTTACCTCCTAAAAGCATGGCCCTCATGCTAACCCAATTTAAAGTTAGGAGATTGTGACTTCAGACACATTTTAACCTGCAGTGTTAATACTATTTAGATACAGAATAATGCAGGTAGATTAAGTTTTGACAGAATCTTTCTTTCTTTCCTTCCTTTCAGGAACAAGTTTGTTGAGTTTGACATGAAGCCTGTTTGTAAAAAGTGCTATGAAAAGTTTCCTCTGGAGCTCAAGAAAAGGCTGAAGAAGCTGGCTGAGTCCTTGGGACGCAAGTGAGCTGCTTTACAGCCAAACAAACCTGGAAGTGTTCCCGCTGTCTGCTATGAACTGCTGCATACCAACACAAGGACCCAGAGTTGTACCAGTACATCAATATTATTCATTTCAATCTGGGATCCATTTAAACTATACATCTAGATCACTGTGGAGTTGTCATAAAGGTGCCTGTTAGCAAAAGTAAATTTTTTTTTTAACATTCCTAAATTGGACAGATACGTTTTTTTTTGTTTTTTTTTTATCATAGAAGAGGTTTGGTGTCCCAGTTTATCATAACTTTACCATGAGCATGATTGACAAACTGTCTACATTTTATTTTTTAATTTTGCAGATTGTTGTTTGACATTACATTGAATAACATGTGCCTTGAATATATGAACTATGTGTCTTGAAATGCAAATAATGCTTAAAATGAGACATGCAGTTATGCCTCATTATATGCATCTCAATTAGACAAATTATAGACTGAAAGCAGAATTCCAGCCTTTCACCGTTTGAGCTTTTATACCTCAGTATAAATATTTACAAAGTAACCACTATGCTCTTCAGGATATTGTAACAGTTTCTACTCTTGCTGACATGAAAAAATAAATTACATGTTGCAAGAAGACCTTAGCAATGAGCCATTACCTGGAGCAGGGCTCATATGCAAACCTTTAAGTGTTAATGAATCCACTGGTTAGGGGTTAATATAATAAATGTAAAATTGCGATGAACTTGTGCCTCTTGTCACTACTCTATTAGCCTGGCTCAGCAGTTAAATATCTTATTCAGATAATTACTCCATGACTGATGATTTGTCCAATGTGAGGAAAAATTCACAGTAATTTGGGAGAAAATATATCAGAGGGTGCTAATATGATTAGAAACACCACCACAAAATATGCTTACTGTATAGTAGTGGCTTGATTTCAGTATATGTGGCAGTGAAATGTTATTGCCTGTACAGTAAATGCCTTGGGATTGTCAGCCTCATATTTTTAGACAAAGTAATGTTTGCAGCTTTCTGAGGGAAGTAGTTCAAAGGAATACAGATGAACTTTCAGCTGATTATTTAATATACGAACACTTTGATGTAAAAATATATCATTAATGAGTCAGCACATTGCTCGGGCTGTTTGTAAACTGGCAAATTTATTTAGAAAAAAATGTGTTGTGCTCCACAATAATAAATATATTTGCTTGGATGAGTGTTTTCCTTATTTTTTGGGACACTTGCATATGCATTTCATTTGTCAGAATTTACATTTTAACAAGAACTCCCTAACGCATCACAGTGAATTACACTCTATGAAACACCAACTACACAGGAATTTGCAGTAAATATCCTTTGACTTTATTAAAAGGTTGTGAAACCTGTAGCATGCATTCATGATGTATGACGAAGGCACATCACATTATAAACATTCAGTAATTCCAGAATTAAGTTACAGTACAAACATGGAAAAACAACACAAAACAACAACAAAAGGAATGTGTAAAACATACAATCAAATTTCAATTTTGTGCACGAAGGAGCCTCCTGTTAACGCTCCCATTAAACTAAAGCCTGAGTCGTTGATGAAACACCCCCCAATTTAAGAAACAAACTTCAAGTTCATGTCCCACTTTTGTGTGAGAGGCAAAGGAAGAAAGAAAGTCTGAAAATAGAGCCTCTTGAGCTTATTATTTTCCATTGTGATCTGTAATTATATATTTTAATAGTCATAACAATAATTTTAAAACAATAGTTCTGTGTCTTTTGTTTGGGTAACATCTTTCGCAGCTTTTTGTCATTGGGATCCTTTTCTGTTTGCCACCTTCCACAACACACTGACAGAAAAAAGAACGGCAACAATGATGCATAATAGTTATTTTTCACAGCAGACGTTCTGACTTGTCATAGCCAGAAAAGCACAGGTGTTGTTAGTGACATAAACAATGGCTCAATTTCATCAAAGTGTCACAGTGAAGCCATTACCGTGTGACAGTGAGCCAACATGCACAATACCAGAACTCTGAAACTGAAGCAGGGAATGACATTCAGCCAGAAATGTGCTTTTCCGATTGTGACAAGTCGAAAAATACCTATTATAGGAGAATGTGATCCATGAAAAACACAGATGTACAATCAGGTCAACAGAGGTTGATATTTACGTAACAGTACAGCTATCATTGCTTGTCCCCCATAAGTTAACCAACATGCATTTGATAATTATTTGACATAGTTACACGAGATTACACATTTTTCTCAGCAGAATCAAGAGTTTATCAAAAGCTCCTGTCGCAAAACAAAGCAAATGTAATTAATTCACACTTACAAGTTTCTGTATTGTTACTGTAAAGATTGTTGATAAATGTTGCTGATAAACCATGCAGAGATATCACACTTGAAATGGATTACATTCTTACATGCTGTTAACAGTAGAGTAGACGACTACTGATGGGGAACATGGAGGCGAAATCCCGACAGCTGGTTCTGAGAATGAGAAGGTGACGGTGGCATGTTCTTGTATTGTGGTCGGAGATGTGATGATAAACCCAGGAAGTGCAGTCTAAAAGTTGCCCATTCGCCTAAGGTCATATCTAGGATGTTTTTAAGGTCATCTGCCTCACAAAAGACCAGTGCCAAGCCGTTGAGGTCTTCGCTTCTCACAATATCAATATACTTGCTGGGAAATTTCATTCTTTCCAACTGAAAAAATAAGAAAATGTAAGCATTATCAACACTGAGCAGTGATATGATTTAGTTCCTAATCCTCCCTGATATGATTAAATTGACCTTTTCTGTTACATTTGCAAGAGTCCATACAAAGTTTTGATTTGCATCATCGTGTGAGGTGAATAAACACATTCATTTCAATAAATACTGCTTTGTTGTGTGTGTCTGTGTTTGGGATACTATTTACGGTCAGCTTTAAAAAAAAAGCCATTATATGTATTTACATTCAGTATATACCTCCCTATAGGTTTTATTGTAAGTGGCAGGGTCCGCCATTCCAGTGTTTGATTAAAACTGCCCACTCTATGCACAAGGGATTGACAGGAAATGATGCGACATGTAATTCAGCGTTTGTTATTTTATCTTGTTGATTACAGCCTCACTGTTGACTGCTTACTCACCTAACTCTGCATCTGCAGCTGTACTTAGGTACTGGTAATACAAACCGAACACTTCTGCTGCTTCACATTAAAAGCATTCAACTGGTGACACACGGGGATGCTTTAACTGTGAAGTACTTGCAATGTGTTTGTCACAAAGGTAAGCACCGACAGTGATAATTCTTCAGAAAGGCTTCTACAAAACATATTCTTGATGGAAAAAGGCCAGCTATTGGCTTATTCATTAAAACAATTGTTGTTTTTGGCAACATAACATAGATAACGTAGCTTCTCAAGTGTTTACGCCGCACTTGCTGTCACCGCCAAATCAACCGGGACTAAAATCTGAAAAATTATAATTTAAGAAGGTTCTTACCTCTTCACACACATCCTCTTTATCCATGTTGATGATAGTTGTGATTGGTAGAGGGGCAAGGTTCCTTATCCAACTACAATCTTTCAGCCTGGAGGTCCCTCTGAGGTGAGCCAGCTCCTTCCTAATTGAACGATCCAGGTTCACCGTCGCCTCTTCAAATGTTTTCAAGTCCTTTACCGTGAATCGGAAATCCATCTTGAGAAATCTTTCAAACATCTCAGGATCTCCATCCTGCTCGAGGAGGTCCTCTATCTGTGCACTCATCACATACAGCTCAGCCCTGGATTCACTGAAGACTTCCCACAAGGTCTTTGAATCAGCAGTGTTGGCCTCATTGTTACGATCAATAACTGCTCTCTGCTGAGCGTCTTCCACACACTGGATGATCCAGCTGAGGCGGCAGGGCCACTGATTAGCCAAGGCCACCCATGCTGCGATGTATTCTGGTCGAGGAAGGTCCCTCTTCAAGGCCTTCATAATTATCACAGTCAGTCGAATGGAGTTGATCTCCCTCCTCATAGACATGGCATCCTCTAACATGTACTTGTTCAGATTCCTTTCATTGCTGGTCAGGATGCTCATGACCAACTTCTCTACTTCCTCCTCGTTTACATCCAGTGCAGCTGGATTTATGTCCACCAGTGGGAATGATTCTTTTGTGTCAAATACAATCTCCACTGAGGAACAGGTCGCTTTGAAGCTCCCATTTCTACTTTTTTCTTGCTCAGGTTTTTTCGAATTGCTAGTGAGGCTGTCAAATAAATTGCGCTTTGAATCATCGCACAGTGGTGGGACAGTGAAGGCTAGCGTCACGATGCGGTTCAACATCGCATAAGCTCTGTCTTCTTTGCTGAAGCAGCCATCCGCAAAGTTCACTTTCTGCACAAGAACATCTGGGTTGACGGCCAGGATGGAAATATAAGGACTCTCCTCATCTGAAAGCAGAATGTTGATCGCATCCAGAACTGCGACAATTTTCTTGGGGGAGCAGCGGTCCAGATTGGTGATCTTCAGTAACACACGGATCCTCCTTCTCTCAAACACCTCCATAAACTGGATGAATTGAGACAGAAACCACATCTCCTTCCTCACTTCGTTCATGAAGCCCAGCTGGATGCTGATGCGCTCATTGTCCATCCCCTTCTTGATGTTCAGATCCTGGCTAAAGATGAGGTTCTTACCCATGGAAAAGACAAACCTCAATGCGCTTGCTGCAGGGACTCCTAGGGCAGCAATGACCAGGCCCTCAAGCACAGCCACCTGGGTGGTTGTTCCATTCACGGCCGCGCCTGGTTTCACCTCAGGCTTGGGTGGGCCAAAAGTCAACAGGAGTACCAGGATGATAGGTGGTACTACAAGAATGGACAGGCAGAGAAACCACAGAGGGCAGCAGCAAACCTTTTTGGACCTCCAATGGTTTGGACTGTCCTCCACTCTCTGAATTCAAAACAAATCAGAACAAATACGAGGCATATTAGATTTCACTGAAGTGTTTTTTGCGACACGGCAATGTCAGTCACCAGTTTGTTCCCCACTTTGGTCCGGAATTAAATATTTGAACACTATTAGATAGCGATGAATCCTAATGACTTTGGTGATCCCCTGACTTTTCATCGAGCGTCATCAGCAGGTCGAATTCATCACTATCGATCTGGACACATCTAATTAATGGATTGCCACAAGGTCTTGTACAGACATTCGTGTCATACCTCCTGACTTTTCATCCAATGCCACCTTGAGGTTTACATTTTCGTTTTGAGTGAAATATCGCCTCAACTTACATGATCCACTCGGGATAAATTGTCATAACTTTGGTGAACTCCTACCTTTTCATCTAGCGCCATCACCAGATCAAATTTTATTTTCTTCACTACATATCTTGAGGGATGGATGTGACTAATGATAGTTACTTTCGTGACTGTAACAAAGTATTTTTGTGTGCTTGTACTTTAATTCTATTTTTTTTTTGTAGAAGTAATTTGATTTTACTTTGCTACATCATTGTGACTTAGCACAGGTAAAAAAAAAACGTTTTGCGTGAACAGGTGCATTATGGGTGTGGGTAACACGCTAAATCTGTGAATTATCCTGCGGTGACGTTCACTGCGGAACTTTTACCTTCTGTGAGGTGTTTGAAGACTTTCTGCTGTTTTAACAATAATCTCTGTCACAGTGACTACAGAGCGCTCATATAGCTCGAAATGTTTGAAAACTTTGAGGAGCGCAGTGGGACGGAGAAGCTTGGACTGGTTATACTGGGACATAGCGGATGAGTGGACTGGTTATACTGGGACATAGCGGATGAGTGGACTGGCTATACTGGGACATAGCGGATGAGTGGACTGGCTATACTGGGACATAGCGGATGAGTGGACTGGTTATACTGGGACATAGCGGATGAGTGGACTGGTTATACTGGGACATAGCAGATGAGTGGACTGGTTATGGAGCAGAGTGTGTGGAGTAATGACAGGTGCGCAAGACTCGCGTTCAGACAGGTGAGTAACCTACAACAACACACTCTTGTGCAAACAAACTGTGTGGCTCTTGTCTTTGCTTTAATGGGCTATTAGTGTTTGTGGCCGCAGCCGCTATTTATTGTGTTGTCTGCCTTGGTGATGTTTTATTCTGCTGTTAAGAAGTGGTAGGCTATTTAATTTAGCATAACATAGCATGCTGCTTAATATTTCTTGTTGCACCCGCCGCGGTTTCTCTTTTTATTTGTTGTCGTTACTGTTTGAGTAATTGCCTGAGTTTTGTTCGCTGTTCAGGTTGTATTAAGTTATCAGCTGTGTACTCAGGCTGCAATTGCTCTTAACAGAAATGAGAAATAATGGTCTTGTAGCTTTGGACAGAAGGGATATTGCTAACGTTACCTTTTGTAGCCTAAATGTGTTAGTAGGTCTGTTTTATCATCATATACATTTTTGTTTACCCTCCTTTCAACGTCCCTTCTATTACAAATTTACGTTTTAACTGACCTACTTTTTTACTTTCATCCAATTACTTAATTGTACTTGCACTTGAGTAAAATTACTTTGAAGTGCATTTACGTGACATATTGTAGTACTCTTTCCATCTCTGCATATCTTCTAATATATCTTTTTTGGTATCTGCCACTGAGACTTAAACTCCCATTCCAGTACATTGAATGACTGTGATGTGACTTTGCAGAAATAGACCTTGCTGTCATCACTTTGTACTGGTAACAATTTTCTACCGAAGGTAAAGAAAAAGAAAAAAAAGAGTATGGATATAGTTTTATATCCTGCAGCTGAGTAAAGACACACAGAGCCACTAGCATGGCTGTAGACTCTGTAGATTCACAAACCTTCTCCTTGACTTCCTCTTCTACATCATGTTGAGCCACACGGAAGAGCACAATCTGTAATTTCCCAAAGTTCATCTGCATGGCCTGAAAAAGCCGTATGGCTAGACCGGCCCAAAGCAGGTCACTGCCTGCAAAATGCCAGGCACTAAAATGTACATCAATGAACCGGATGTTATGGTGCTGCTGGTTCTCCTCTGTCCAAATGGGCCTGTAGAAGAGCATTCGCCCAATGAGCGCTAGAAAGCCACAAAACGAAGGCGTAACTGAGCGAGGCTTGTAACTTCCTTCGTAATTCTGCTCAATCTTCAAAGCTTCCTGCTTCATGTACACTGAGGAGACACAAAACATTGATAATATTGACATTTTATGTACATCCTTTAGCAGGTTGGAGTAGGCCACATGTGAGGATAACCTTTCGTATGTGAACACCAAGCCTGGCCGAGCTGGTGCAATACTGTCTTTCAAGGTAAAAAAAAGAAATCATCACGACAACCCTTCAGTATCCTCTGGGTAACACAAAGACCAACAACCTTAAACTTGTCTTTTCTATTCGATTCCGCAGCCGCACATGCTCCATTCGGTCTGTTCAATGTCACTTGTCCATACAATGATTTGAATCTTCACATTTCTAATGCAAGGCGACTATGTAGCCTACTCATTTGTGGAATTCTGAAGCCTCCTAATATGTGATTTATTTTTTTGTGTTTCTTATTCAGAAATGTACTTCTTATTTGTAAAGTTCAAAGTGGTACCTGCTCATCCGTCGTTCGTGAGGCGAAGATATGCTTATAATTTTGCAGGCAATTGCCGTAAATTGTAATTTGATGTGGTAAGAGTTGCTTACATATGCACCGTTACAGTTGATACTGAGGGGGATTGTTTGGACGCAGTAGTATGTGCAGCCTCGGAAACTCCTTATCCACTTATGGTATAAATGTGTTGTGGGGGGAAATATATGAATTGTGAGATGTGTACTTCAGAATACAGTCCACAACGTCCACTTTTCAATCTATCAGATTAAATCAATCATGAGTCAGCTCTGAGGTGGTGCACAGCTCATTCATAAGCCAAGAAGTAGCGCAGTGATTTTCTGACTGCAGTGGCTAAGTCAGTGCAACATTATGTTTAATATGTGGTAATGATATTGTGCTAGCATAGCATTTGTATTAGCATTCTACGGTCAACGCATTGTTGTTTCACACAGCCATGTTCACAGTGGCCATTGTAGTGTGAACTCTGAAAACAGAAACGTCGCTGGGCTTTAAGTGGTTGATTTAAATCAAGCGTCCTCCAGCAGACAGAAGAGATGATATGCTGGGGGGCCGAGTGTTTGTACATACCTGCCATTTGTCCTAGGATCGTGCTAATTCGATTCTGACATGAGGAGTAGAGTCCTACAGTCGCAGGTGATGAAACTTTTGTCAGGGTCTTGGACAGCGCATATGCATAAATATCATCTGTAAAGAGATTAAGAATATTGAAAAAAAAAATGGAATGGATAACTCATTTTACATTAAATTTTTTATTCCGATTAATTTATTTGATGCTCTTCTGTGAGCAAAAACACTTGAAGTTGATGGATTATTTACAGAAATTATATATTGAAAGTATATACAGTACATTACATTAAAGAACAGCTTGAGGGAAAACGGGACCCTGCATTATAATAATATTTATTATTTTAATAATGATAATAATATTTCATTCAGATGGGCAAAGTAACAGAGGCTGGAGACACAATGCGCACATCCCCGATTCAGACATTATATGCATTTACACTCAGTTCATGATAATATTCAGTAACAAAGTGAAACTGAAAGTGAGAATGGAGCCCTTCTGAGTATGAGGGGAATATGCTGAATCACACTCCTGACATTACCTGCAGATAACTTACCATTGGTTGTTTTGGCCATGTTTGTCTGTGTGGTTTGATGTGCAGCTTCCACAGAAAATCCCTTTGACCTGCAAAGAATGAGAAACAGCAGGGAACTCAGTGCAGGCAGTGGAGGTTTTGTTTGTGAGTGTGGCTTCAGGTCTGTCCTCGCTGTACATCATGCCCGAGCAGACAATGGTGCAGTAGTGGTGCTGTCAGTCACCAGCGAGGGGAGCTCCAATGCAAAAACCCACCGACTTGGACACTCGCAGTGTTGATTGAGTACGCTCGGTATAACTTGAGAGATTTGTTAGTTTATGTACTGAACACCTCAACAGTTAAATGGAAAGCACCACAAGTGGAATGAATGTCCATGAGAGTGCTTACATGGCAAAAACACAAATTCACAACCTGCAGGTTTTTTTTCTTTTTCTGTTGATTGACAGGCATTTAAGTGAATTGTTTTAAGATGATATTGTGACATTCATGCATGGGCATGCACCTTCCCAGGGCGCAGGCTGTTCTTTTTTATGTGCAGGGAAATGTCAACAGTTTTGCTGTGTCAATGATTACCTTGCATAACCGAATACCTTTCCCTGCTGGCAACATATTTCCTCTTTATGTTCTTGCCTGCACAAATGCTTAATGGACTCATAGACAGTCTAACAGGGCAAAACGAAAACAGAGTTACAGACGGACTTTTAGTGCTGAAAAAGGTTTATGATTGACTCTGATGGACTTTGATCAGTGTGAACAAAAGAATACTATATTGTCGTAAACCATAAAGCTGTTATTGTGCTTGAAGCAACACAATGACTGATGTGGTAGAAAGACGTTACTGGTGAAACAAGCTTACCTGGTTGATGTCAGTCCTGACCTTTTATTGTGACTCATCTTTGAATCGCCACTTCTAACGTATCCAGAAGGCAGAAAGGACCGGGCAGCTAAGGATTAGTGAACCATATACCCCACAGGACTTCAATGCCGTAAAACTTTACAACACTGATAATAGAAGGGAAAAAAGGCACCTGATAACCACAGGCAACGTCTGTAAGACGGACACTGTCCAGGAAGTGAGGTCACATGCAAGATTAAATTATTTCTGAGAGATGGAGCTGTACATTTCTTCCATTCTCCCTTTCAAATCTGTTACACCATACATCTCCTGCTGCTCCCAATCTTCTCTCTATTCATAGAATCTGAGGGAAGTAGGTAGTTCCTGAAAGCACAACGAGGTGGAAAAATCCCCATTCTTGCGATGACTTCTAGCATTCACTGTCCAACTTTTTCAGTCCATGGAAAAATGGAACAAATGAGTGCTTTTCATGCTGGAGCCTTGGGTCTGCATGAATCATCCATGTTTGGGGTCCCTCAGGTTTGGAATGGCTGGATTGCTCCTCCTGGCCTGAACTGACATGCATAGCAGTTAAGATGCCAAAGCAGCAGCACCAAAGCCTTCTTTGCCCCGAGCAGGATGTGTTATGACATAACTGGTTAGTCAAGCTTTGACAAACAAGCTCGAAGCCTAATTTCCCATGGCATATTTATTTCTTTTTTTTTGTAGCATTAGCTTACTGTTACCATCTGGTGTCGCAGTATACCTTTCAACACAAGTCCTTCACAAGCTACTACAAATAAACATTGACGTAAATCATGTCAAGGTGGCTTTTTGTACATTCCCAATGTGTACATTTCAAGCAATGCACACAGGTCATTTTTAATGTGCAAAACTGAGCCTGTCTTTTGTAGAAAGATGTTGATTTATGGCTCCTATTGCAGAAAGCATATATTGGTGTAAGCATACAGTAGATATATACTAACAGAGCTCTGTGTGCACAGGAACATAATCATTAGCTAAAGAGGCAGGAAGATTTGATTTCAAATACTTTGTTTTTTAAATTTGATTTAGGTGGGACCAAAAATGTATCTGGTTTAGAGAGGCAACCTTTTTTGTGACACTTTTTATCTGAATAAAATACAAAAGTCTATGTTTGCAGCGTAATGTTATAGGCAAGAAGTTATGTTCTTGTCCGAACAAATGTGTCACCATGTGCCACATCATCTTGGGCGTCTTATGTGTCAACATGGGCTGGAGGCTTGTATGTGCATGACACAATGAATGACATAATTACTGTAACTATCTCAACTGTATGAAAACATGCATGCACCTGCAGCACATTGGTGTCAACACTGTACACAACCACACACCTCACTATAGGAAACGATGGAAAGAAGGTTTAATTAGTGGATGCCTGATTAAGATTTAAAGTGCTCGGCCTGGGTGTGACTTATTCTGCCTTTACTCAGACTACTGGATTGTTCAACTATTTTAATTAACTTGATTGTCATAGAGAGAGTGAGGGTGTGGGTGTGCATATATGTGTGTGTGTGTGTGTGAGTGTGAGTGAAAGAGAGGTTCTCAGTTATTGCTTAACCAATACTGAATTAATTGGATGTATCTCCCCTTCTATGAACCCTCACCACACATCACCCTTTCACCACATAAACCTTGCAGTTAAGTTAATGAATTCACCTTCATGATTATTCCAAGATAGGTCCAGACACAGATGCATTGCATTTCAGAATTGGGCAGACTTGGAGTGATATCCTTTTATTTAGCTAAAGGCGAGGGGAAATTAAACTAATATTGTAATATGTTAAGTTTGGGGGGTAGCAATTGTTTTCTGTCAGGAGCTGGCTGAAAGGATCATTTGCATAAACTGTGATACGTAGCAAGTCAAATTATCCAATTTTTATATATATATTTTTTAATCGTGTTGTAATCAAACACACCAACAGAGGGCGCTAAAGTATTGTGCATGAAAGCAAGACAATGGTATTTGATCAGCAGCCCCTCATCACACTTCTCTGCTCTATTTGGTATGTAGGAGCAGACCCCACAGTGAAGGAGGCATTTTCTGAAAACTGGGAGCGGTCAAGAGCTTAAGATGTGGTAGAACTTCTCTTGGATGGGCTTCATTTAATGTAAATCAGTAACTGCAGAGCACACACACATACACACACACACACACACACACACACACACACACACACACACACACA